ACAAGCCCCACCCCCAGCTCACAGCAGCCCCGCCCACAAGAAGCATGGGGATCTGCGCCCCCCCCCCCATAGCTAGCAATCCAAAACAGTCCAGTGGAGCCTGGACTGTTTTGTAAGTTATGCTAATGAGTTATGCTAATGAGCTCCTGCACCTCTTTTTCTACGAAATGACCCCTGGTTTCAGCAAAAGCTAAACCTTGTTAGTGGAACTTTACATATATTGGTATGTATGTAACACATTCGGGGCTCACCCATTGTAATATAAAGGCATCTGTCAGGGGGGGAAAAGAGTGTGTTTTCTTTGTTTGCCTCTAAGCAAAAGTAAAATCCTCCTTCACTTACACCACAAGATAACCGCCCCCCCCCCCAGGTTAACATAACAGGAAGCAAAACAACAATAGGCTCTCATGTGCTCCTGCTGCTGTATATTGTCTCAGTTCTATGTTAGAGGAAAAAAGCATCATAGCAGGGGGGAGCATGTTCCTTCCTCCACCCACTGCTCAGGTCTCACTTGGGGGGGGGCACTTGCCAAGGAAGTCTCCTTTTGAACCTCCCCCAGTCAGCCCCCACCTCCAATGTCTAACCATTTTTCTTCTGAAAAATTCTGGCATCTCAAGTTGAGAGCCTTTGTGTAACAACAGTAAGTATTTAGATGCTGCTTATGCATAACCAAAATCGTTAGCGTCACAGACATGTTCTGGTAACCACCCTTGCTGTCCTGTATGGTAGGCCAATGTTGTTCTTTTCATGTTGCAGACAGAGAGGGGTTGAGAAACAATCACTTGCCAAAGGCCACCAAGTAAGGGCAGATTTGATGTCAGGGTCTCTTAGTTCACAATTCATACATATATTAGCCCACACTTTCCATTTGCACTATGTCAGTTGTGGAGTATGCCTGCATATATTGCCTAACGTTAGACTCCTTCAGTACTGAGCTGCTTTATAGACACCTGTTTTCAGTGGCTTATCTTTTGCACTGAGCCTCCGAGGGAAAGGCATGGTTTCAGGGTCTGTGGTTCAGCCTCTACCATGGTCTCTGACCACTCGAGGCAAGGGTGAATGTGGCTCCGATTGACCACAGGGAAGGGGGGCAAGTTAAAATGGTCCACCCGTAGAGACCCATGGATCCTTCTGAATTCCAGAATCCTCTGGGGTATTTTAGGATCCCAAATAAATGCTCTGGGGAGTCTGCAGAGGGAGCTTAGGACAAGAAGCTTCTAGAAGCTATCGACAGGGCTGCCCCTCGTCAACTTCTCCTTGCTTGGGGAAGAACCCAGCTGGCCTTGTGGTTTACCACAAAGTTGGGTGACCTGAAGAGGGCTGGGAGATGTCTCTAGAGAGATGCTGGTGAAATACATGTGGTGAATCTGACAAAAAAATTCTATAGAACTCACTGGAAGATCAGTGACAGTAGAGGTGACAGTGGCAAAGAAATGGTACTTCTCTGCTACCATTGCATCAGCTAGTCCACAACCACCCCAGTTGTTTAAGATTGGCTTCTGTGGGCTCTTCGGTTTGAAATGTTCTTGCTGCAGGAACAGGTCTTAAAGAGCATTTTGCTTTTCACCTTCATTAGGTTTCAGCTGACGCTTGTTGAGAGGATTAAGAACTGAGGGGTTATACTGGATTCAGCGTTAGTGTTGGGAAGCAAGTTAACGCACCTGGGAAAAAAACCACTTTATTCCAACTTCATGAGGCCTACAAAATGTTCCCTTACCTTGATTCAGCCATCTTGGCCACCTGGATCCATGACACAGTAACATCAGGGCTAATCTACTGTAATGCACTCTGTGTAAGTCTTCCCTCAAAGTTAACTGGTACAGGTTACAGAATGTGTATACATATTACACCCATTCATATTATATCAAAGTATACATATACATATGACATGTGGATACATATTACACACAGAGTATACACATTACACCTGGAGACCAAGCCCTATGATGGCCTGTGCGGCTCCTTCCAACTCTGTGATTCTAGGATTCTTACAGGGCTCTTTTTGTAGAAAAGGCCCAGCAGGAACTCATTAGCATAATAGGCCACACCCAACAGCAGGAACTCATTAGCATATTGGGCCACACCCCTGACAGCACAGCTCATTAGCACATTAGGCCGCACCCACATGTTACCAGAAGTGTGGTTATCCAGCCACACCCACCTTTTGCTTGTTATTCTGTTTACCTTGTTTGTTGTCAAAACCCAGGGCCTTTTTTTGTAGCAGGAACTCCTTTGCATGTTAGGCCACACACCCCTAATGTAGCCAATCCTAATGGGTTTCTGCTGTTGGGTGTGGCCTATTATGCTAATGAGTTCCTGCTGGGCTTTGCCAACTTGGGAGCCAGCCGGAACTCCGTTCCTGTGCGTTCCTGCCCCAAAATAGCCCTGACGATTCATTCTGCACTCACTGCATTGGCTGCCCATGGATTCCATTCAAGGTACTGGCTGTTATCTACAAAGCCCTTCATGGCCTTCGGCCGTCCTATCTAAAGGACCAGCCACGCTCTGCCATGACAGCTTTGCTGATCTGACCGGAGTGTTCTGCGGGTGCCACCCTGCAAATGGGCACGATCAACAACTGACCATACATGTGCATTCCTTATTGTGGCCCCCACCTTGGGGAGTGGCCTGGCTGAGGTGGTCAGGAAGGCTCCCACCATGCTTCTGACATTCTGCCAACGATTGAAAGCTGAACTGTTTGGTGTTTTTATAAAGTTGATAGGATTATATAAGAAAATGGTTCAGGAAGCTGCTTTTGGAAAAGGAACAGGACTGTGGCCTGTTGCTCACTATGTATTATCCTGCACGGACTGCTTTGCTTTTATAGTTATGTTTTATCATTTTCTGCATTGTTTGACATACCCTGCCAAATACTTTATGCTTTGTTTCAGACTGCTGTCACACTATTTATTTCATTTACTTCGTTTATACTCCTTCTTTCTGCCCAATGGGGGACCCAAAGCAGCATAAATCATTCTCTTCTCCTCCGTTTAGGTTTTCCTAACCCATTTAGGAAATTCTTGGAGATTTGAAGGCAGAGTTTGAAGAGGGGGCTCAGCAGCCGTGTGATGCCATAGAAGCTGCCATTTTCTCCCGGGAAACTGATCTCTGGAGTCTGGAGATCACTGTTAATTCTGAACTACAGCCCCTCCCTGTAGGTGGACAACGTACTAGAGAAAAGCTTTGACTTAAGATATTAATTACTATCATATATGGTCGTTGTATAGCTGTAATTTTAGTTAGTGTGTAGTTTTGTAGGATTTCTGTAGAAAATAAAAATGAAAATTATAAAAAAAACTATTTTATCTTCACGACAACCCTGTGAGGTAGGTTAGGCCAAGAGAGTGAGATTGGCCCAAAGTCACCCATCAAGTAGCATGGGGATTTGAACCTGGGTCTCCCATATCTTAGTTCAGCATGCCTATTAGATGTCTCATCCTATTGATTCCACTGACTTATACTGTGCAATCCACTTTGGGTCCCAGTGAGAAAGGTGTCGCCAGAGTTTAAACATGCAGAGAAACGGAGCACCAACTGTTTAAAGAAGATAACTCATGCCCCGGTCACACGGAGCAGAGAACGTGGGGGGGAGGCGTGGCTGTTCGCCCCGGAACAAAATAAAGTGCGGTAGCCCAATCACACGGTCCCCTGAGGCTTCGTGCTTAGGCTGTTAGCTGGCAATCACACGGTGATGCTGGAGTGTGCCAAAGAAGTGGTGCGGCAACCGTTTCGTGTTTGTGCGCATGTGCAGTTCCGCAGAGCAGCACTGCTTTCAGTTAGGTGTTTGTGCACATGCGCTTACGAAAAACATCTGGTTTGCGATGGCATGTGGATGGGCGCCAGATGCCACGGGATACTAGCGCACCCGTGCCCTACGTTTTCCGAGACTAGTGCACTTTCCGAGGTACTTTTCTACTGCGCATCTTCGATGGGATGCCACGGGTTGGCCACAGGTGCGCTACGCTTCCCAGATGTTGCGGTGTGATCACGCCCCAAAAATCCACATGACATTCGTGCCTTTAGCACGGCAAATCCTCCGTGTGAACGGGGCCTCAGTTTATTAAAGAAGAAATAAACTCTGATAGAACAGAAGAGAGGGAGAGAGGCTTAACTAACTGACTAACTGCTGTGAGAAACAGGAACGAAGGGGAAGGGCTCAGTTGGAGCACGAAGTCTCCAAAGAGCCAATCAGGAGACAAGAAGGACATAATTTGAAATTGTGGGAAGTCCCTAATCTAGCTATGCTAACTAGCAGTCCTTCAACTGTCCTCTATAGGCTGTTGTTTTGATCTTCTTCAAGTAGGTGCACTATAGACCGAGTATATTCCAACAAAAGGCAGACTATAAACAAAAGTAAATAAATAAATTATTGTGGCTATAGACTTGCTCTTTGTGATGTTTTTCCCTAACTGAATTTATAAACTTTTAGCTTGCACTCTGGCTGTGGTTTGACTGCTTAAAAGGGGGGGGGGGGACAACCTTAAGATTTACTAGAACCATCCCCTGAATCTATTTGAAGGTTTGTGCTTTCTTTTTTAAAAAATGACAGGTTCTCATGCACAAACCTGGTCAAAAAGCTTCTGATCTCCAAACTCTGATCCTAGCCATGTGCAAAATTGCTAAACAGAGTGGAAATGGCACTTTGTGCATGTTCAGAGTTGTTTACATCTTTTTCTTTTCCCCTTCCAAATGATTCAGCACTATTTTCAAAAACGTTACCCTTTGCACTGCAGGGTTGAGTCCTGACTGTCATTTAACTTGCTCAGAAATCTGCAGAAAAATGTATCAAAAGGCAAACGTTTTAGGAAACGGTGAACAATTTAGAAGAGAAGGAGGGGGAACCTACTTACCCTACCGTTTCTCCTCCGAACACATGCACGTGACTTTTTTTCAGTCACCAAAACCTCACTAGTCAAAGCAGTATTTTTGGTCAGCTCCACCTTCTTACTATTTTCCCCCCACACTGCAAGCAACTGTATCAACACCAGCATGATTTGCCAGATTTCCTCCAGCAAAACAAGGAAACGTGGCAAGCCGACCAGAAAAATAAAGAGAAGTTCACCATGTCCATTTCTGAAACTCCCCTCTCTCCCTGCTTCAATAGGCTTCTGTGGGAATAGTTCAGCATGCTGGGTCCAGAGGAATCCCCCTCGGAAACAAGAGAAAAGGGCTTAATTTTGACAGAATGCGCTGGAACCGTTTGCTTTCATTACAGTCCTGCCTAGTTCAGCAGAACACCAAGCTGTGCAGGTTAACACATTTTCTGTTTTGCTGCTCAGAGAAGCCAAGTCCGGCCACACGGTATGTATCAACCCCAACTCCTGAATTCTTTCGCCTTGTAGGAAAAAGTCTTTCCTTTCTTTCTTTCTTTCTTTCTTTCTTTCTTTCTTTCTTTCTTTCTTTCTTTCTTTCTTTCTTTCTTTCTTTCTTTCTTTCTTTCTTTCTTTCTTTCTTTCTCTATGTGATTCAGAAGCTGCTTTACTTTTTACTTTCCTCCCCTTAGATCCCTTTCCTAATTCTTTCCCCTTTGCATCCCATAAATTTCAAGGTCTTTCACCTTAGAGGAATATTGTTAACAGCCCAAATGGTCTGTTTAAAAAACAAATTAGATTCTAATTCTTGCCAGAGTTAATCTGTTCTTAATTCCCCCCCCCCATTTACGTTGAAAGACATTACTCCTTTTATTTCTTGACTTTTAAGGAGAACCGTTACATTGCTTAGATAAAATCATCTCTGGCGGCTAGACTGCTGCCAAAAACCCTAGGGAAAGTGAACAAGAAAGAACATGTTTACCTATTCAGAGATGCTGAGAGATGCAGGCTGGGTTAGATAGTCATTTTGGATTCGTAAATTTCAAGTGGTGCATGCATTTACAGAACTCTTGGTCAGAAAAAAGAATTTAGAGCACAAACTAACAGACTATCAGGGGATATATATTTGTTCCTGTTTTAAAATTTGATCAAATTGATCTCTTACTTGGTTCCATGAGAAATATACCAAAGTGGTACATGGCCACAGATGGAAAGAACAGCACTTCTGGCGGCCCCAGGCATGATCTGTCTCACAGCAGTTTCCCCAGTTTAAATCCATGTAAAGTAACCATATTGCATGCAGCTTTGCTACTGATGAATAGAAATATATATGTGTATGTGTATTTAAAATGGGGGAGGAAAAGATTCCATGCCTAACAGAGAATGTATTTCCTCCAGGTAAAAATATATCACTGTTTAGGATTGTGTATGTGATCGTTTTATAAAATGTAAATGCATATTTATTTGGAGTCAGTGTGGGGTATTGGTTAGAGTATTGGTCTAAGGAGACCCCAGGTCAAATCCCCATTTAGCTATGACCCACATTTGGGTGCCCTGGGTGACCCACATTTGGTGACCTGAGCTCACTGGAAGGTAGGGAATGAGGTTAAAATTGTAATTAAGGGGCTATACATGATTCTGAATGTGTGCATGACTTTAACTGGAAGGGTCTTACGGCTACGCGGCTCAAACCTTACACTGGCTCTGAACCCCACCCTTTCTGCAGTCTGTTTTTTTATAGTAAAACACATTTCCCACCCAGACTCCTGTCTCAAACAACAGAAGTTGCCTGTCTAAAGTAGCATATTGGCAACTGCTGTTCCTCTAGGGAGCCCCAAACCAGTGTCATTTAGCCTCACAACAACCCTGTGAGGCAGGACAGCTTGAGAGTGGCAGGACAGCTTGAGAGTAGCTCAATATAGTGGGTTATGGTGACAGATCAAGACTGGAGAGATCCTAGTTTCAATCTGTATTCAGTTCTCAGACTACCTGGATAGCGCACTGTCTCTGGATTCTCCCTGGGCCCTGTCAAATGTCAGATTTCCCGGTCTGCTGAGGGACCTTGGGCCAGTCACGTTCCCTAGGGTTGCCAACCTCCAGGTGAGGCCCTCGAGATCTCCCACTTTTACATCTGATCTCCAGACTACATAGATCACTTCTTCTGGAGAAAATGGCTGCTGTGGAGGGTGGGCTGTATGGCCCTGCCCCCCGCTGAGGTCCTTCCCCTCCCCAAGCCCTGCCCTCCCCAGGCTCTACCCCCCAAATCTCCAGGTATTTCCTAGCCCAGAGCTGGCAACCCGAACTCTCCCTGAGCCTAAAGTATCCCACGGAATTGCTGCAAGGATAAAATGGAGGAGAACGAAGCAGCACCCTGAACGCCTCAGAGGAAGGACGAGATGAAAACGTAATGGCCAGACCTGCCTTCAGCTCCCCGGTTGAGCTTCATAGCCAAATAAGGAGCCAACCACCGTTTCCTGCCCTGCTATCGCCTTCAAGCAGTTAGCTTTGCACGTAAAGAATGTGGGCGGACAGCTCGGCTCTCAGCTGCCCTCAGAGCGTCTCCTGGGAAGAAGAGTGCCCTGAGGCTGCCTGTCTCTCTGAGGGCCAACCTGGAGCGGGCTCAGCAGTCGCCTCCCTGCCTGCAGGATTTTAAACAAACTGGGTGCTTTGCAAGTTACTCTTCCTGTTACCAGGAAGAGTTCCTCTTCCATCCGTTGAATCCAAACATGATTTTTTTTTTTCCCCTTTGTGCTCTGCTAGCAAACAGCTGTGTGGGTTCCAGTGGCCTGTCACGTTCCCCTTTCCGAACGGCGAAGGTCAGCTTTTCCCACTCACCATTACACCACTACTTAGTGTGCGACTGCAATAAAGAAGGCCAGTGCTATGCTGGGGATTATTAGGAAGGGTATTGAAAACAGATCAGCCAATATCATAATGCCCCTTTATAAATCAATGGTGCGACCTCATTTGGAATACTGTGTGCAATTCTGGTCAGCACACCTTAAAAAGGATATTATAGCTTTGGAAAAAGTGCAGAAAAGGGCAACTCGAATGATAAAAGGGTTGGAACACTTTCCCTATGAGGAAAGGTTAAGGCGCTTAGGGCTCTTTAGCTTGGAGAAGCGGTGACTGAGGGGGTGACATGATTAAGGTTTATAAGATTATGCATGGGAAAGAGCAGGTAGAGAAACAGGTACTTTTCTCCCTTACTCACAATACAAGGACTCATGGGCACTCCATGAAATTGCTGAGTGGTCGGGTTAGAATGGATAAAAGGAAGTACTTCTTCACCCGAAGAGTGATTAACACTTGGAATTCACTGCCACAGGAAGTGGTGGCGGCTACAAGCATGGACGGCTTCAAAAGGGAATTAGATAAGTATATGGAGCAGAGGTCCATCAGTGGCTACTAGCCACAAGGTATAGATAGGGACTCTGGGGCAAGTGATGCTCTGTCATCTTGGTGCTTTGGGGGGTCAACAGTGGGAGGGCTTCTAATGTCCTGGCCCCACTGGTGGACTTCCTGATGGCACCTGGTATTTCTGGCCACTGTGTGATACAGAGTGTTGGACTGGATGGGCCTTTGGCCTGATCCAACATTGGCATCTCTTATGTTCTTATGTTTAACATACAGCATTCAAAGCGGTTGGTATACATTATCCCATTCATCCTTATTACAGCTCTGTCAGGTAGGCTAGTATCTTGGTGGAAGATGAGGCATGGAGAGAAAGGGCCATTTGCTTGAGGCCAGTTTGCAAGTCAAAGTTACAACAACTAGATACTATGGGACACCTGTGATGAAAAAAACATCACCACCACCAAACCTTAAGAGGTCTGGGACCAAACTGCCTGAAGCACTGCCTGCTCCCACATGGATGGAGCCCCAGCTCTGGGTGTCCCCATATCTGATGAGGAGGGTGTGTGTGGCAACCTGGAACAGTGCCTTCACAGAAGTGGCACCCTGCATTTGGAAGGCCCACCCCATCTCCATTTGATTGACAGCTTTAGGCATTAAAAAGCAACCTTATTTATACAGCCAACTCAGGGTGGGGCCACAGCTCAGTGTTCTTGCATACAGGAGATCCCAGGTTCAGTCCTTGGCACCTCCACCTAAAAGGTTGCAGGAGCTAAAGAAGCTGCCTGAGTTCCTGGAGAGCTGCTGCCAGCCGAAATGGACAGTACTGAGTTTTGCGGAACAAGGGTCTGACTCAGTTGTTGTTCAGTCGCACAGCTGAGTCAGACTCTTCGCGACCCCATGGACCAGATCACGCCAGGCCCTCCTGTCTTCCACTGTCCTCTGAAGTTTGCTCAATTTCATGTTAGTTGCATCAATGACGCTGTCTAACCAACTCATCCTTTGCCGTTCCCGTCTTCTTTGACCTTCTATCTTTCCCATCAGGGTCTTCTCCAGGGAGTGCTCCCTTCTCATTTGGTGGCTCAAAGTATTTGAGCTTCAGCTTCAGTATCTGGCCTTCCAGGGAACAGTCAGGGTGGATTTCTTTTAGGATTGACTGATTTGATCTTCTTGCAGTCCAAGGGACTCTCAAGAGTCTTCTCCAGCACCATAGTTCAAAATAATCTATTCTTCGGCACTCGGCCTTCCTTATAGTCCAACTCTCACAGCCATACATGACTACTGGGAATACTATTGCTTTGACCATGCGGTCTTTTGTTGGCAGGGTGATGTCTCTACTTTTTATCATGTTGTTTAGGTTTGTCATCGCTTTCCTCCCAAGGAGCAGGCATCTTTTAATCTCATGGCTGCAGTCACCGTCTGCAGTGATCTTAGATCCCAGGAACGTGAAGTCTGTCACTACTTCCACGACTTCCACTTCTATTTGCCAAGGAGTAATGGGTCCAGATGCCATGATCTTAGTTTTTTTTGATGTTGAGTTTCAAGCCAACTTTTGTGCTCTCCTCTTTCACCCTGAACAGGAGGTTCTTTAGGTCCTGTTCACTTTCTGCCATTATAGTGGTATCGTCTGCATATCTGAGGTTGTTGTCTGGCTCAGTGCCAGGCTGCATTTGCTGGTGCTCCAAAGAGCACTGGAGTTGCCACCAATGCTCCCTCTAAGCTGTGGAGCCTTGTGAGCAAAAATTCTACTTTGTGAACTACTGGCGTTAAAGTTGTGAGTGAGCAATTTGGCTGCTGCATAAATTAGTTTGCTCTGGAGCCACCCTTTCTGAGCTAAGACAAAAATGAGTGAGCAGGAAGCTAAAAAACTGTGAGCTAGCTCACACTAACTCATCTTAGAGGGAACCCTGGTTGTCACCTATTTTGTCTCTCTCCTCCTGTGCCTTTAGTGTGCAGAGATTCAGCAGGCAAAGGAACCCCAACAGCTGGGCTCAGCAGCTGTGACCAATGGAAAAGTTGGCCATCTCAAATGGATATGGCCATTTCTTTGACTTGAGATTGAACTATTGAAATAAAATAACAATACAACAACAACAAACTATTAGTAACAGCATAATTTGCATATTCCGGGGCTGA